AAAATTTTTCAAAATGGCCGCTTGCTACCCAATATGTCATTAGACATTGTGCCATGCTTAAAGTATTCACATACCAAATATGAACAAAATCGCTCAACTACTTTTTGAGTTACAGTAAAAAATGTTAATAAAAAACACACGTAAAAATGGCGGCCATTTTTCAAAGTGGCTGCATACTACCCAAAATGTTATTAGACATTGTGCCATGCTTCAAGTATATACATACCAAATATGAACAAAATCGCTCCACTACTTGTCAAGTAAAATGACGTGCAATCGTAATCGTAAAATGACGTGCAAAGGCAGCCATTTTTCAAGATGGCTGCCACGTATTTCTTCTTTATTTACATTTCTAGCTTAATCAATGTCCTATATAACTTTTTTACATTCAAAACATATGGCTATTACAGTTTAATATGCAGAACCTAAATTACTGTAAAATCGGCACTAAAATGGCCGCCATTTTTAAATGAGAGGCCATTTTGAAAATCGGTTTTTGAGCAGAACTTCTACCCCCATTGGGTACATGTGTACAAAATATGAACAGAATCGGGCCAACGGTATTTGAGTTATTGCCCGGACGGACGGACAGACGGACGGACGTACGGACGGACGTACGGACGGAGGCGTTCCCTATATCCCTCCGAACTTCATTCGATGGGATAATAAGCAAGGAATAAAAGAAATAGGCATGTAGTCAACATTCTAAATTGTATAGAAATGCAAGAAAATCAGACACTTCATTCAAATTTTAGAGAGAAATAAGTGGAATCAGCAAGGAATAACATAAACAGGCATGTAGTCAACACTCTAAATTGTATAGAAATGCAAGAAAATCAGACACTTCATTCAAATTTTAGAGAGAAATGAGAGGAATCAGCAAGGAATAAAGTAACAGGCATGTAGTCAACATTCTAAATTGTATAGAAATGCAAGAAAATCAGACACTTCATTCAAATTTTAAAGAGAAATGAGAGGAATCAGCAAGGAATAAAGTAACAGGCATGTAGTCAACATTCTAAATTGTATAGAAATACAAGAAAAAAATGCCATGGTTTATCCAATTTTTGAGAGATATATACATGACATGTAGGTCATACTCCAAAATGTAGAAAAAGGCAAGAAATTGTATTTTCGCTCAGATTTTAAACTGCAAAACAGATTGAAAAAGAAAGGAACCAACAAGAAATAAAATAAACAAGCATGTACTAAATTGCAGAAGAGTACTTTTATCCTATTAAAGATATGATGTCATACCTGCAGGTACCAATAGGCAAGGCCATAGATATCTCGACCAATGGGCAGACAGCGTAGATCTGGGGGCGTCTTTTCGTTCACCTTCTCTTTAAACTTTGGATGTGTGTCAAACTGGGCCTCAAGTAGATCCTGATATATAAAATTCATCAATTTTAGAAAAGAAAAAACTGGAGAGTGACTTGATATCAGATTGTTTTGTCTGAACCAACAGGGACTCTGTAGATCTTCTGAAATAGTTTAACCTCTTGACTACCTGGAGTGACGGGATTTCTCGTCACCTCAGAAATGACCTTGAAACCCAGAGTGACGAGAAAATCCGTCACAATTTTTTTCACTAAAATTGCTCTTTTTTGAACAATTTTCGACCAATTTACACAAAAATTGTTTTAAAATGTGTAAAAATGATCTCTGCCGACTAATTTCACTAAGTTGAGCATCTAAAGTTGATTATGTATATAGTAAAATGTCAAAAGGTGGCAAAAATGAAAAAATTCTCTGGTTTCAACCGATTTTAGAGTCTGGGATTCAAGAGGTTAAAATTGACATTTTTCTGTATTTTTTCCAGACATTAAGTTCACCAAAGTTTTATTGTGGAAGGTAACATATGGAAAAGGTACTAGACTCAAAATCCCCATTAATTTTTTTTCAATCCGCTAAATTAAAGCGACTGTCAAATTAAAGCAATTTACAGGACATGTATATATATTGACAAAAGTTATTACACTTGTGGTGATGACATAAAAAAGTTGATAAATATCAATATGGTTGATATGGTCAATATGGATCCATATGGTGAAAAAGTCAATAACTCCAAAATGAAGAAAATAAGGTTCACAATACCTTCACGGGTGAATGTAAAATGCCATCTATTTTAACGCCATTTATCTAAAGTTACCTTCAATATGTTGATCCTTGTGTCAATGGAGACTTTCTTATATCCTCTGTTCTCAATCTCCCACACATTACTCTCGGAGTAGCGATAACAAAACTGAAATAAGTAAAATTATTGTGAACAGATCATGAAATAAAATATTGAGCATAATTCTAGAAATAATGGCCCTTATCTAAAAAGAATGACATTGATATAAATCTACAATAAATAAGTACTATTTGAATATATTTCAAAAACTAACATAATAATAACTTTCTAGTGTAATTCCTAATTTCATGATTTTTTGAAAGTAAAGCAACTGTAACAATAAAAAAGAAAGGTCATGCAATTTTACGTGTAGACTTCAAATATGATATCACTTTAATATTAAATGACGTAAATCACAATTATTTCTACTCGCATCTTGTCTATTCTCCATTTACAAGAAGTGAAAAATCCTTAGAGTGAGGATGCCTTTTCGAATTTCGCAGTTATTATATTTCATGAATCTTCCAAAACTTGTGAAAAGCGCGAAATATAGTAGCACGCAAAAATTACCGGAACTCACATATTTAAAATTTCCAGAGGGACTCAAATATGACAATTTTGGCCAAAAATCACTTGAAAAGTGCCAAAAAAATAACTGAATGATTTTAGAGAGTTTTTGGCAAGGGGATCCTACCTTTATGAGTCCAGCCTCCCATTTGTCTGGTTTACAAGAATGTAAGACTCTCCTTAAAAGTTTGACCTGCAGATCTATTAGACTTTGGTCAACTGAAAGCAAAGAGCAAAATGTGATTAAAAACTGAAAATACAATAGACAAAGAAGTAGAAATCTTTTTATAGATTTCACAATGAATAAGATTCTAAGATGATGGTTTTGATGGAGATGTCACTCCTTCTCTGCAAGTGAAAGTGGTGAATTCTTCATGTTAAAGGGTCAATTCTAGGCGATTTCTACATGTTAAAGGGTCAATTCTAAGTGATTTCTACACTTTAAAGGGTCAATTCTAGGTGATTTCTACATATTAAAGTGTCAATTCTAGGTGATTTCTACATTTTAAAGGTTCAATTCTAAGTGATTTCTACATGTTAAAGGGTCAATTCTAGATGATTTCTACATGTTAAAGGGTCAATTCTAGGTGATTTCTACATGTTAAAAGGTCAATTCTAGGTGATTTCTACATGTTAAAGGGTCAATTCTAAGTGATTTCTACACTTTAAAGGATCAATTCTAGGTGATTTCTACATGTTAAAAGGTCAAATCTAGGTGATTTCTACATGTTAAAGGGTCAATTCTAGATGATTTCTACATGTTAAAAGGTCAAATCTAGGTGATTTCTACATGTTAAAGGGTCAATTCTAGGTGATTTCTTTATGTTAAAGGGTCAAATCTAGGTGATTTCTACATGTTAAAGGGTCAATTCTAGGTGATTTCTTTATGTTAAAGGGTCAAATCTAGGTGATATCTACATGTTAAAGGGTCAATTCTAGGTGATTTCTTTATGTTAAAGGGTCAAATCTAGGTGATTTCTACATGTTAAAGGGTCAATTCTAGGTGATTTCTTTATGTTAAAGGGTCAAATCTAGGTGATATCTATATGTTAAAGGGTCAATTCCATATGATTTCTACATGTTAAAGGATTAATTCTAACTGACTTCTGCTCTATAGGAGCAAATTTAATTACGATATGACAAATAGTCTTCCGATCAGTCATATAGGTACAAATTTTTATATAGCCATTTATTATTAAGGCAGTTTTTGGGGTGTCAACCCGACCTGGAAAAAAATCAAAAAAATCAATTAAAGCTGATAAATAATTATTTTAACATTTCCAGATGTAATTATATTAATCCACTAAATTTTGAATATTTAATGACGTAAATCAATATCATTTCTACTCGCATCTAGCCTATTGAGACATGAATGACAAAAATATTGTGAAAGTGAACTGAAATATAGGTACATGTACTGTCATCTGGCAAACAATTTCTTAAAAGGAAAGAAATTTGGGTTACTAACAACTATAAAATTACTGAATGAGGCTATTACATATTATCCTTCAGAAAATTTATTGAATTCAAAAGAGCTTTTTTAAAAGGCTAAAATCCCAAAACTGAATTTGATTTTGTTGTTCTATTTCAAGAATTTTTGCATCAGCATTGTGCGAGTGCAGTACACGTAACTCTTTGTTGGAATTTGGGATTTTGGCCCCATTTTTATTCTACTAGTCCTACTGGTCAGCATGAATGTACAGTATTACAAAGTGCACATGTATGCAGACTATATATTTCAAGAGATTTTCCAAAAAATCAGCAATCAGAAGCGAAGTTGTTGACCAAGGTAAAAATGATAAAATTTCATGTAGGATATGGCAAAATAATCATTTTGTTTGTAAATATTGAAAGGAAATCTGTAACCGAAGATCATAACCTTTATATATGACAAATGACCTCATTTTTCAAAACAAAACAATGGAAATAAATTTGGAATAAATGTACATCTTGATAGCAAACTGACCTGACTCTCTGGACTCCAACACACGTTGCAGATCAACAAAGGAAATGTCTTTAAAGCCCAAATCTTTGCCAAATCTCGTCAGAAACGAACAGATCACTGCAAAATTAGGATTTTTGTGGCAAATTTGAATTTCGGCTTCCGCCATATTGAAACTTTAAATTAACCTGCAGAGCTAGGAACTATTTTCGTATCTATTATCAACCCTTTAAAAGAAGCATATAGAGTCACTGGAAGCGTATATATTGTCTTAAAATTTCATATGCTTATTATTTGTATTATTATTTTTATCTAATACACTTTAGATTGAGAATTCAAGAAATTACGAATTTTAATAATTGGTGATCGAGTACTCTGACCTCAAAAAACTTGACCTACTTTCTTGATTGATAAAAATAAACATAAAAGCTGCAAGTCATTCTTACAAGCTATTTCAATTGGGATAGCTCGTGCAATGGCGTCAAAGCAGCTGTTAAACATTACAATAGTCAGTGATGTCATGTGACCTTGGTGTTGGGTCGGGAAGAGGAAGCTGGAATCCGCGATGAAATCTGTGCAAGATTTGTACGACTTCACAGTTCGCTGGGAACCTTTCCTTCTACGACCCCAGATGCCTCCTGAAGGTGTCGAAAAACCTCCCCCGCAAGCTGATTCACCAAGGTTTGTATTATTCTATGGGGTTGTACTTGAACATAAAGTTGTACTTCTTCTACATGTAAATGATTGTACTTCTAGTTCAACAGTTATACCATGGTTATACGTTGTGGTGAGACCCTATCTGTTGCAAGACTAACGCCATAATTTGTGGGAGAATGTTCACTTTCTGTATTGTCATAATTATGATGAATTCCAATTTTTATTAAATTATCAAGATGTATGTAGAAGATCATGTTTTTATTTTTGAGTTATTTCTTTTAATCATCAATAAAAAGTACAAAATAAGATTTTCTTGGAATGTGTACATTCTCCAATTTTGAAAACCCATGGTAATGTTTATGTATGAAATATGGGAAGTTGCCTACCCTTCTAGTTGAAAGCCCATGCTATAAGTGACCGTGACAATGTGTATTTGAAAACCTGGCATGACCGTGACAATGTATTATGGGATTACAAAGCCTGATATGACCGTGACAATGTAATATAGTATTGCAAGGCCAGGTATGAGGGTGGTAATGTAGAAATTTAGGCTTAGTCCTACTATGACCGTTATAATGTATTGCAATGACTAGTAAAGATGTATGACATTAATGCCAGGAATATCCTTAACAATTTTAAGTGATCGTCATTACAATTAAACAGTTTAATACTATGATCATGGTGTTTAACTACCTTAATCATGTCAAAATCAAAATTACTGCTATACATAATGTCCACATTCGCTTATAAACCACAATAAAGGCTACGGTCGCGTCAGGCTTCCACGATAACACTTCCAGGATCATGACAGGCCTTGCAATATAATACAGCATTGTCACGGTTATACCAGCCTGTCACGGTTATACCAGGCTTACACGATAACACTACCACGGTCATGGCAGGATCCTTGCGCTACTTAAAAACACTGATTAACATGGCGACGGTTGTGGCAGGCGTAAGTCTTGCAATATTTGGTAATAGTTGTACAGTACATTGTAGTTCTAGTTGTACTTCTTCAAAGTTACTTCTTCATCGTTATACTCCCACATAATTATAGTATATTTTATGTACTGTATATTTATTTCAAAATTTTTACACATTTTTACAACAGTGGTTTACAAAAGTGGAAGCCACATCCATCTAAGATACAACTTATTATTTTATTAAAGACATTTCACTGCATTAATCTTTAATCTTACATTTGCAGAGTCAACCCAAGGCTTAAGGAAGCTGGAGCAGCGGTTGGTATTGACTTTACTGGAAAATGTGGACGTTATCCTAATACACTACAGGCGCATGTCCTTCTAGAGTATGCCAAGGAGACAGATGGTGGGTCAAAGCAGAATGACATCGCTGAGCTACTATTCCAGGTATTGTAGCCATGGTTTTATTTAAGTTCAATTTCAATGCACCAGCCATGCAGGGGTTTCATTAGCAGCAGGTAACAGGCGATTTTCACCAGTTGTTTTTACAAAATCATCTGTTGTTTTAGGGACTTTTCAAATTTTTCAAGTTAAAATGAATTCCATCAATCTTGACTGTTGTTTTCATTTATTTAGCCTGTTGTGAGAGATTCTAGTGAAACCCCTGTACAGGGTGACCAAAAATGAATGAAATGCGTTTTAATTTTTGACAGATTAAACTTTAAAATCACATGAAGTCAGAACTGTTTAAAATTAGACATATAAGGAATATTAAAATGAAAAATGTAATTATAGGCTATTAATGTTTCATTGTTCAATTTAACGATTAATTGATGTATCCATTACAAATGGTTCACAAATAGTTTACTACTGTATGATGAAGTGGTGACATCTATATTCAACCTGAATCTCTGCTTTATTTGAGTATTTAAGCACTGGATGTGATGCTTTACTTCTAAAACAAGACTGAAGGTCAATGTTTAGGTTGACATACTATCCATTAGTCTATCTATCTCTTAATCCCATCACATTGAGTCTGGCATGTCGGTTGCTTAAATCCTTTTCAACCATTACAAAACAGCTTTATAAAACAAACAATAAAACAATACAATGTGATACAAAACAATACAATACAATACAATGCAACTACAGACAGGCAAGTCATTTGACAACACAACAATTTCCATTCAAATTTGAGATTTCTGTCCCAAAAGTGTACATTGAAAATTTAACTAATTTGCTAGCAGATTAGTCATCTATGTGAGAATTATATTTTAATGTCATATTCAAAATTTCTCTTGTATGAATTTCATATTCGATAAAACTTCCTTGTAAACAAATGTTGCATTTGAAGTATCTTCTCTTCATTATGATTTGGGAACTGCTTCATAACAAATGTTAGATATCAGGCTCTTTCTTCTGTATGGACTTTTAAGTGCTCAGTTAGTGCAGGCTTTCTTGCAAATGTTTTAGAACAATTGTTGCGTTTGAAATTCTTTTTTCCTGTATGAATTCTATAATGACTGTTAAGAGAAGATTTTTGAGTAAATGTTTTTAAACAAACATCACATTGGAAATTCTTTTCTCCAGTATGAATTCTGTAATGTGTGTTAAGAGTAACCTTTTGCGTAAACATTTTTGAACAAACATCACACTTGAAGTTCTTTTCTCCAGTATGAATTTTATAGTGATCATGAAGAGAAGACTTTTGTACAAATGTTTTAGAACAATCATGACATTTGAAATTCTTCGCTCCAGTATGAAATTTATAATGTCTGTCAAGATATGACTTTTGCACAAATGTTTTAGAGCAAACATCACATTTAAAGTTCCTTTCTCCAGTATGAATATGAAAATGTCTTGTTAACTCAGAATTCTGTGCAAATGCTTTAGAACAAGCATTACATTTAAAGTTTTTCTCTCCAGTATGACTTCTGTAATGATGATTTAGAGAAGACCTTTGCCCGAATGCTTTAGAGCAAACATCACATTTGAAATTCTTTTCTCCAGTATGAATTCTATAATGTCTGTTTCGATCGTAGTTTCGTGCAAATGTTTTAAAACAAATATCACATTTAAAGTTCTTCTCTCCAGTATGAATTTTATAATGTAAGTTAAGACTAGACTTTCGCCTGAATAGTTTAAAACAAACATCACATTCAAAGTTCATTTCTTCAGTATGAATTTTGGAATGTTTTGTTAGATAAGATTTTTGTGCAAATGTTTTAAAACAAACATCACATTTGAAATTTTTTTCTCCAGTATGAATTCTATAATGACCGTTTAGATGATGCTTATGGCGAAATGTTTCAGAACAAACATCACACTTGAAATTCTTTTCTCCAGTATGAATTCTACAATGCTCATTAAGATGAGACTTATGGCGAAATGTTTTAGTGCAAACATCACACTTGAAATTCTTTTCTCCAGTATGAATTTTATAATGGCTGTTAAGAGAAGCCATTTGCATAAATGTTTTTGAACAAACATCACATTTGAAGTTCTTTTCTCCAGTATGAATTTTGTAATGCTTATTAAGATGAGACTGTGTCACAAATATTTTAGAACAAATACTACATTTCAAGTTGTTTTCTCCAGTATGATATCTATGATGTACATTAAGATTAGACTTCCGTGCAAATGTTTTAGAACAAATATTGCATTTGAAGTTCTTTTCTCCAGTATGAGTTCTATAATGATCGTTAAGTGTAGATTTTTGCGTAAATGTTTTTGAACAAACATCACACTTGAAGTTCCTTTCTCCAGTATGAATTCTATAATGCACATTAAGATGAGACTTTTGTGCAAATGTTTTAGAACAAATATTGCATTTGAAGTTCTTTTCTCCAGTATGAATTCTATAATGGCTGTTAAGGGCAGATTTTTGTGTAAATGTTTTTGAACAAACATCACACTTGAAGTTCTTTTCTCCAGTATGAATTCTATAATGTGTGTTAAGTTTAGACCTTTGTGTAAATTTTTTAGTACAAACATCACATTTAAAGTTCTTTTCTCCAGTATGAATTCTATAATGTTCGTTGAGAGAAGACTTCTTCCCATATCTTTTAGAACAAACATTGCATTTGAAGTTCTTTTCTCCAGTATGGATTTTATAATGTTCAGCTAGTACTGACTTAAATCTGTACACTTTATGGCATATATCACAAATATGTTCTCCTTTCTGGCCATTAGCTAGTCTCTGAACACCACTACTTATCACACCATCATCATTTATCACACCACCATCATTATTCATCACACCGTTTGCATTATTCAACACACCATCCACATTGTTGACCTTGCTGCATGTATCATGGTCCATGGTGTTTTCCATAGTAATGATAAATTCAAAATATTGCCTTCCTAAATTAAGTATTATTACTTCACTCCAAGTAAAGGTCAGATTAGTTTAATTTTTATTGAATTAAGGTATGTATATATTTTCATTGATAGTGAACTTCATTACAATCTCAGCCTGGTCATGAATCATGATGTAGTCTTGGAATTCATATACCTCTCTGATATCCAAATGTCCAAAGCATCATTTTCTGTTGAAAATACGATTTAATTTACATGCAGTTGATATCATCAAATAACATCCCCGGGATAAAACCACTAGCCTCTCCTGAATCAAAGACTTTTGTGGCATAATGTTTCGTGTTTTTCAAGTAACTTGTAATATTCTTGACTCCTGGTTCTTTGTGTTGCATTGGTTCCTGTGTAGCTCCGTTTAATGTTACGGTTTTTCTTTCACATATAACCATGCAGTAATAGTCTTATTTGGTATAAGCTTAGATAAGCTAAAATGTGTTGTTATATCCCAACTGAAAGAGCCCCTGTTGATTGTAAAGCTGTTGGATTAAAATATTTGAATACCGTATTCTCTGTAATTACCGCCCACTCTCTAATAAGCGCCCACCCCGCTTCACAAAGTTCAAGAAACATCGAGGAATCAACAAGAATTGAAGAATATATCAGGAAAAAAATATTTCTCAAAATCCAGGAGCGGGCGATAATAGAGTACTTACCCTAAAACTGCTGTAAACACGACGCGTTTTGTAATTCTATGCATCCTCTCGATACATATCTATCGATGGATGCTTCCCACGCCATACCATGCTAATATTGTCTCCAAATAGTCCATAATGAATGAAGGAATTGTTCTTTATCGGCATTCAGAAATTTCAAAAGCTACTGCGCAGATGTTCTGCGCATGTCAAGGTCGTGAACTTTCTGGTTTCTTTTTAATGTTTCTCGACTTTTACACGACTTTTGCACGAATTAATGATGATCTCTCATCAAATTAGAAATAATGTATAACTTTAGATCGATATCCAGCAGTCTCTAGTGGAAATATTGAAGGTAATCGGCGATAATGACAAAGTGGGCGTGCCGGAAATAAATTAGACATAGACGGGTCTTCAACCACTGTCAATATTGTCTAAGCGATCTTTACCGTATTCTCTCCAATAACAGCACTTGTCATATTATTATAAAAATATGTTGAAGAAAATGCATTCTTGTCAAGAAAAATTGCCATACATGAAATTCCTCGGGATTTCTGATTTCTTTCATACATGGGCGCTTATTAGAATGGTCTAAATAATGTATTTTCAATTTTCTAAACGCCCTGGGCGCTAATTACAGAGAATACGGTAGGTTCTATTGCTTCTTGCAGTTTAATTGAAACAAGAACAATAATCAGTTAAATTGGCTTATAAATAAACTCAAATGTATATTGTTATATTGAGTCCCCTGTTGATTTTATTAATGTCTGATTAAAATATTTGAATAGATTTAGCTGTTTTAAGAGCTATGTATTGTGTTCTACTTGGCATATATAGGGTGTCTCAAAAAATGTACCCAAAAGTATATCAATACCATAGACAAACCAATCAATATTTTCAGACATTTTTTGCATGGTCTTTTAGATAAAAGATGAATGTTTTTTCTCCTATACACAGTTTTTAATTCAGTTTTGCCTTTTTGATACTTTAACCCGTTATCTTTTACACCACATATTCAATGTAATCTCATTTTGTAATGACAGTCTGCATCCTTACTACTAATGTTCATCACATTTGATATTTCTGGTAGAATGTTTTGATTTCTGTTCTGATGCTTGGTCTTAAGTTACATTTGCAGATGTATAGCTTTATTATACTCAAATGAAAGGCAATTTAAAGTAAATTGAAAATATTGTATCGTTTTTTCTGGTTCGGGCCTCGTAAAATTCAAAATGGCCACCTAATGTGGGATTTCTCAATAATTTTCTGATCTCTTAGAAGTACATGTATGTCTATTTTATACTCAAATTGAAGGAATTTTAGAGTAGATCACACTCATAGTATTGTTCTTCTGATTTGTGCCTCAGAAAATTCAAAATGACTGCCTTAGAGCAGGAATTCACCATTACTTAGCGATATCTTTAAAGTATGATACTACAATGATCTCAAGTATTTATTGAAGGGAAAAGTAGATGGTAAATATTACATTGTGACTTTACAGATTCATGATTTATATAGTGTTCATACTATTTTTGTTTTTATCAATTTAAACATATTGAAAGTTTCTTCTACACTATATTAATAATTTCTGAAAAGGGGATGCGTGTTGAAAACCATTAAAGTTAAAAACCACATATCCCATTTTATTTTCCCCTGGGGAAAACTTGTGCTATCCATTGTTTTCTGTATAATTTTGGTCATCGAAAAGGATCCGTTACCCCATATACCTAAAGATGCCCCAAAAGGTTTCATTGAATATAACATGGAAATAGTTACTTTTATCAATTATGAACACATCCAAAACAAAATTAGGTCATAGGGATTAAAACTAAGGTCATTCAGTGCATTTAAGTTTGACTATGCAAATCATTCTAAATATCATGTTACGGGTATGTTAGTCTTCACTGATGACATATTGACGATTCAATCAATCAAAATATCAAAATATCATGAAGGTAGGACACAAAGGGCAACATATTGAAACACACAAATCATAAAATTATCAAAATTGTAAAAAAAAGTCTTGTATGTAAAGTCTTGTCTACGCGTTTTCAGGTGAACCATTTGGTAGATCAATTTCAAATTTTTAGGGATGATTCTTATTATGAAAATCTAGATCTGATTAGTTTTTTGGCATTCTGGGTAAATGGCAAGGCAGCCATTTTGGATTTTCCGTCCTAAAATCTTGCCTGTAAAGTCTTGTCTATGTGTTTTCAGGTGAACCATTTGGTAGATCAATTTCAAATTTTCAGGGATAATTCCTTGTATTAAAATCTAGAACTGATTAGTTTTTTGGCATTCTGGATAAATGTCAGGGCTGCCATTTTGGATTTTCCGTCCTAAAATCTTGTCTGTAAAGTCTTGTCTACGCGTTTTCAGGTGAACCGTTTGGTAGATCAATTTCAAATTTTCAGGGATGATTCTTAGTATGAAAATCTAGAACTGATTAGTTTTTTGGAATTCTGGGTAAATGTCAAGGCAGCCATTTTGGATTTTCCGTCCTAAAATCTTGTCTGTAAAGTCTTTTCTACGTGTTTTCAGGTGAACCATTTGGTAGATCAATTTCAAATTTTTAGGGATGATTATTATTATGAAAATCTAGATCTGATTAGTTTTTTGGCATTCTGGGTAAATGTCAAGGCAGTCATTTTGGATTTTTCCGTCCTAAAATCTTGTCTGTAAAGTCTTGTTTACGTGTTTTCTGGTTTACTCTTTGACGGATCAATTTCAAATTTTCAGGGATGATTCTTAGTATGAAGATCTAGAGCTGACTAATTTTTTGGCATTCTGGGTAAATTTTTGCATTTTCCATCCCAAAATTGTAACGGTAAAGTCTTGTCTACTCATTTCAGGATAACCATTTGACGGGATCACCCATTGGTGGTGACATATTGTACACATTTGTGTTCTTGTCTCCAGTATGAATTCTACAATGATCATTAAGATGAGACTTTTGGCGAAATGTTTTAGAGCAAACATCACACTTGAAATTCTTTTCTCCAGTATGAATTTTATAATGCCTGTTAAGATTAGTCTTCTGCATAAATGTTTTTGAACCAACTTCACATTTGAAATTCTTTTCTCCAATGTGAATTTTGTAGTGTACATTAAGATGAGACTTTCACACAAATGTTTTTGAACAAATATCTCATTTGAAGTTTTCTCCAGTATGATATCTATAATGCACATTAAGATTAGAATTTCCTGTAAATGTTTTACAACAAACATCACACTTGAAGTTCTTTTCTCCAGTATGAATTTTATAATGTACCTTAAGATGCGACTTTTGCACAAATGTTTTGGAACATGTATTACACTTGTGGTTCTTTTCTCCAGTATGAGTTTTATAATGTACCTTAAGATAAGACTTCTGGGCAAATGTTTTAGAACAAATGTTACACTTGTGATTCTTTTCTCCAGTATGAATTTTATAATGTACCTTAAGATAAGACTTCTGCGCAAATGTTTTAGAACAAATGTTACACTTGTGGTTCTTTTCTCCATTATGAATTCTATAATGTACCTTGAGAGAAGACTTTTGCACAAATGTTTTGGAACATTTCCACGAGGAAAAAAACAAAATACAAAATGAACAATATCAAACATTTGAATAAAATAGAGAGTTTCTGGGATGGAAAATCCAAAATGGCCACCTTAGCATTTTCCCCGAATGCCCCAAAACTAACCAATTCTAAACTTTCAAAGTTAGAAACGCTTTCATATCATGTCATATCATATCATATCATATACATACATTTATCGTATGCAAAGTTGAGTTTTAGGGAGATAAGTTGGTAAGATATATCCCGTATCCTGATTTTGAGGTTTCCATATCCAGAACCTCCATATCTCCCGCCATATCTCCCGCTTCAGTGCATATCTTCCCGCTTCCGGTAATTTCACTGAAAACTCTACTTGGTATAGGATAAAGCAGTTATGTACGGTCGGTTTGGATATTGGGTTCATCCCTCGTGAGATGTGCACATCTACCTTCGGTCCCTACGGTCCCTCAGGTAGATATGCATATCTCCCTCTGGATAAACCCCATATCCAAAACCTCCCAGTACATAACCCTTATGTATATCATGTACATGTGTTTGTCAATGTTTTCCAGTCTATTTTACAGATGGTACCTACCCTACTGCCAAATGTCATATCATATATCATGTACATGTGTTTGTAAATATTTTCCAGGCATATTTCACAGATGGTACCTACCCAGATGCCAAATGTCTTTTGGACATTGCTGGTAAAGTAGGACTGGATAAGAATGCTGTTAAAGATTTGTTAAAATATGAAGGCAAAGTTGAGGAGGCGCGTCAGAAGGCACGTTATTGGGCACAGCAGGCTGTCTCAGGTGAGAGCAGGAATAGTTTAATTACAAGTATAGGAAGACCTCAGGTCACCTCATAATGGGTCGCCAAGGGTCACTCTATCCTTCAAGGGCCTTAAAACTCCAAATACCTAGATATTGACCTTTGACCTTGGAATGACCTTGACCTCAGGTCAGCTAATCATGGTTCGCTTAGAGTAATAGCAGCCCCCAAGGTCTTTAAAACATCAAATACAAATATTGACAGATATTGACATTTGACCTTGGAATGACCTTGACACATTAAGTTGACCTTTACCTCAGGTCATTTAATCATGGGTCATCAAGGGTCACCGCACAGACCAAGGGTCTTAAAAAGCCAAATACCTAGACATTGGCCTTCGACCTTGAGATAACCTTGACCAATGAACATTGACCTGGACCACGGGTCACCTTATTATGGGCACAGACAAAGGGTCTTAAAAAGCCAAATACTTAGATATTGACCTTGGAATGACATTGACCTCTGACCTTTGTATAATGCCCACCAACAACACTTAGTAAGTTGACCAAATATGAGGCCCCAAGGTCAAATGGGTTTTGGTAAAAAGGCGTTGGGGGTGTTATTGATATGGAATTAAATATTTCACACATTGATTAGACTGGACGAACATTCTGAAAAATTGCTGAAAGTAAGGGTCATGGGGTCATTTAAAGCTTCCCAATCTATCAATTTCTGTTTTCTCTGTTTATAGAATGAATGGATCCTTCCACCCCTACAAAAATAATACAAGAGCCCACCTGGGTCACCTGCCTGCAAAATACAGAATGCTGATATATCATAAATATTGTTTGGTTTTCACATCTCAAATTGTGTTCGTACTTCAATTTCCTCACTTGAATGAACGTTATACTTCCAAAATACATGTTAACGTACACCCACACCTTTTTACCCAAACCATTTTAAGCACCCTGTAGACCCCACACCCAATGCCTTTTTACCCAAACCCAGGTCAAACTGTCCAGGAGGAGATGTCCAGACAGACAGAGAGAGATACCAGGCAAGGTGTGTCCAATTCCAGCCAATCTGAACAGAGTATTCAAATAATGAACAGTGTGTGAAATATCAATAACGCATTTGTTGAGTACAGTTGCTATGCAATTGAGATTGAAATTGAGTTGTTCAATACTTGACCTTTGCAAAAAGTTTCATTGAAAATATGTTCTTTTAGTGATTTTGTATCTTTTAGGTGATTTTATAGAAAATATTTCGCAATGTGGGAAAAGAATTTAAGCCCAAGACTCAATGCATTGTGGCTGCTTCATTCCACTCAGATGTTGTTTCCTTTAAGCTTTGCATTCCTTGCGGGGTCATGCAAAGATTTGGAATTTTGGAATGGTTCAGCACACAACGGACTGAGTCCAAGGCTTAAATCCTTAAACATTGATCGCATTTTCAGTACATTTACACTGTGTATTTATTTCCAAAAGTAATCATTATGCCATTCAATTTATTTTCCAGGAGTGCCATGTTTCTTCATGAATGGTGTGCGTACCTTCTCTGGAGCTCAGGACCCCGATGCATTCGTCAACATGTTTAAGAAAGTAGCGGAGAAATATCCTGCCAAATCTGAAGCTGTTTAATGTGATACTTGATTACCATTATGTTAAATATATAATAACAATATGACTTTATTGTCATGAAAAACAATTCCAGAATAATATAGACACAATGGCAATATATAGTGGTGATTAACGATAGGAGATGTTACCAAGTTAACTACTTGAACTATGTTATAGTAAACCTATTACAGAGTGACCAAAAACAATTGAAAAATATTTAAATAACGGGTAGGGTTCTGCTTTTTTGGGTCACCCTGTATTATTAAAACAATTATAAAAGACACAAATACCCAAGAGGGAGAAGTTAATGTAGCAGTGAAAATGAATCTTGTATTGAGAATATTGGACTAATCATTCATATACTTTATGTTGTTAAAGGACCAATGAAGGCAAGATTTAAAACTAATTTAGCAGCATATCTAGCCAGATAATTTCAGCCTTTATAACATTAGTATATCTTTGGTAATTTCAATGTTGGAGACTTCATTCTGAAGAGAGCAAAAATTCTGCTAATTTTGGTTTAAAGGCCCTATGAAAAGTTTAAAAATATCTATTAATTCAAATTTTATTTGTAATTTACACTGAAAATTTATTTTAAAAAAATCTTTGTTTTTGACTATTTTAATTCAAATACTTTTTTAAAATATTTTTTTTCTACAAATTTTTAATTTGCTCTTTGCTAGCACAATGACAATAGTTTCAGTGTGATTATATATTTACATTTAGAATTTATTATGTTCACAAATCTTTCCTTAGCTTGTATTCGCTAGAACCGTCCGCCGACTGACGATGACATAATAACCGGTATTTATGAATAAATTAAACCGTCATTTTGATGCTGAAATAACGATCAGAGCAAGTTAACTGACGGTGGTCACGTGATGGTCACGTGATATTTTTATGCCACTATCACGTGATTACATGTCTTACATGCAAAATGGCGAATAAAAGAAAACTAGTGGTGCTTTTACTCGAGGAAATAGCAGAAAGTTCGGAGAGTTCAGGTGAATCCGAGGATTCTTCGGACAGTGAAGATGAAGAGGTCATGCTACTGAGCATATTGAGGAGGGACATTCCAAAAATACTGTCGTTCTGCGACACAGTTGAGGAGTTTGACAACCTTTGCTTATGCGCATGCGCGTAATGTACTTCCGCTAGCTGAAATACCGAACACATCGAAAGTCGTTGTCAGTTGTCACTTAAGTAAACACATCAAAGCGTTATTTAGGTCAGCGACCGGGTCTTAGCCGATAGATAGCGACTGTCGATATGCACAGCAGGTCCTTTTCATCTTTTAATGGATTGGCCATAAAATAACAATTAAATCGCCAGTCGCCCTCCGTTATTTGTACTAGCGAATACAAGCTTAGTTCTTGTTTGTATTTTGAATATAAATGTAAGAGAATAAGGATGTAATTAATAAAGATTTATTATAAGTACAAATATTTTGAGTACAATAGAAAATATATTATGAGTAAAGGTAATATATTTACAGTACAAAGGCATATTCATCATGTAACAGTATAATATGCACAAAAATACTTTATTGGTATAAAATCATTATATTTACTGATATTTGTTGTGATAATTAATTATATTTATGATAATAAATGTAATTGTCAATAGTTTATCTAATTGTTCTTATGTGCTATATTTACTTTTCCATTTAAACAAACTGTTCTCATCAAATGCTCATTTCTAATGTATTGATTTAACATTTACAATATACAAATCACAAGATAAAACATGTAAGTAATGTAGCCATATCCATACACTTCCAAGAAAATAGGTAGGAAGATGTTAAACTAAAATCATGCCAATAGCTTAGAAAAGGTAGAATTTTGCAAAAATTCTCTTGAAGACCTCGCTGCACTTTTCAACAAACAAAATTTAACAGACAGGCAGGGCATTTTTACATTTGGATGATTTCATTCAGTTTTTAGATGGCTGTTTTGAAAATGTAGGTTGAAAAATCTGTCCGTCTGTTTGTCTGTCCATTCGTGTGTCAGGGCAATAACTCAAATACCGCTAAACGATAATTCAAATCTGCTGGAGAAGAAATTTTCAATATGGCAATTCAATTCAAAATTGCCACTATTTTTTGTAAAAAAGTAATCTTAGATAACTCAAATATTAGTTGACCAATTTAGTTTTATTTTCGAAATTGCTGGCATCATGTATCACACTATCTGCATTATTTATTACACCATCAGCATCACACTATCGGCATTATTTATTACACCATTGGGATCACACTACCAGCATTATTCATGATATTATCAGCATCATGTATCACACTTTCAGCATTATTCATGGCACCGTCAGCATCATGCATCACACTATTTGCATTATTAATTACACCTTTGGCATCATGTATGACACTATCAGCATTTTTCATGACATTATCTGCATCATGTGTCACACTATCGGCATTATTCATTACAGCAATGTGTATCACACATTCGGTATTATTTATTACACCATTGGTATCATGTTTCACACCATCAGCATTATTCATGGCACCGTCAGCATCATGCATCACACTATCGGCATTATTTATTACACCATCGGCAAAATGTATCACACCATCATCATTTATTACACCATTGGCATCATGTTTCACACCATCAGCATTATTCATGACACCATCAGCATCATGTGTCACACTATCGGCATTATTTATTACACCACCAGCATCATTCATGACACTCATAGCATCATGTATCACACTATTGGCATTATTTATTACACCATTGGCATCAAGTGTCTCACTATTGGCATTATTTATTACACGATTGGCATCACATATTGCACTACCAGCATTATTCATGACACCATTAGCATCACACTATTGGCATTATTTATTACACCATTGGGATCATGTATCACACTATCAGCATTATTCATGACACCGTCAGCATCATGTGTCACATTTTTGGCATTATTTATTACACCATCGGCATTATTTATTACACCATCGGTACTAAGCAAATATTTCATTCTATGGAGGGCAATACCTGTTCATCTTTCAATGATTTTTGCGGTATGTATTGCCCGCAGCCCGTATCATTGCTAGACATTCCCTATGATCATTTATTTTTATCAATTAATATATCATTAATCCATAAGTGAACATAATTACGTACAAGTATCATTGAATGGTACACTTTATTTTCGTCCAGTGTAGTTGTCAGAATTCCCGGGCGGGCAATACGCCGGGCAATACGTCTTTTATTATCCTAAAATTGAGGGAGCTGTGAAATACGTTATGGTATTTTTGATCACATGGTACTGACTCGACCAATCAAATCACACAATTACACCATCATCATCATACCATTTGCATTATTTATTACACCATCAGCATTATTTTTAATTTACACTTCTGTAGGCTGAAATAAATAGGCATGCCCATACATTTTAAGAGAATATATCTGACAAAGAAGATGTTAAGCCAAACGTTTCCCTGATAGCTCTGAAAATTGTGTTATTTTTCTCTCTATAAGCCTTGTTGCCACTTTAAACAGTATTGATCCATTTCATAGATAATTATATGTACAGATTTTTCTGTTCATTAAACAGTTAATAATATTTACATTCCAATGTTTTTTAAGTTAATACTATATAAATGAAATTGAGATCACAAATTCAGTATCTCTTGCAATATATTTACATGTAATCTACCATTTATTTATCCCCATCTACAGATAAGTAAAAGTTGTTTATCTGACCGAAAAAAGTGATCTGATATCCAGGTGTTCTGATGTACATAAGATACTGTAAATCCGAAATGTAGATAATGCAAATGACACTGAGTTTTACATTGGTGCTGTTATTCCTTTTCACGAAATAAGTAGTAGTTCAATGTTCATTTCTTCATTATAAACCTATTGAGTTCATTCATGGTAAACTGTCTGGTTTAATTAAAACACCATATCTGATTATTTTTTTAGTGAAAATTTATTTACAAGATATTGAATTTCCACCATTGTGTTTATATTGATCTGATTGATTATGAGACCTACAGTTGTGAACAATTGGTACTTTGTAAATTTTGCTGTTCCATGTCAAAGGTAATATTGTAGTCCGTGGATGAACTTTGAGGCAGCTGATCTCCTCATTTCCTGGTATATGTATGATTGTTTCTGTTGTGGTTAACACCTGCAATTTCATGTTATTGTTGGAACATGTGTATCCTTCATCAAACACCTGGAAATATAAAGAATTATACAGAGTTTTGGTATGCTCTTGCACGCGTAAAAACTCAAGTTGAACAGATTAGCATAAGACGAAGGCAATATAGCACTTTTTCAAACTGCGATAGAAAGGCCTTAGATTAGCTTTAATGTACTGTTTAACCCTTAAATGGTTTTTGGGGTCTGTTTGGACCCCAGAGCTCATTCTTTGCAATAATTATATCAGAAATAATCATTCTATCAACATGAAATTACATCTAATCCTCAATTAATTCAATTCCTTTCAGATAAAACAAACCAGATATAAATCGCATTATGACTTTTTGTGCTACCTGAGGCCAAAGAACATCACTATCACTGAAACATATTCAATTAATACAGTGTTATATATAAATGCTAAGAAATGTTACAAAGTGCTAAAACACCCGACCCCTTATGATTAGGTTTACACATATTTCCATGCATTCATGATAAATAATGCATACATATTCTAAAAGGTAATAGATTAACCTATGTAAAACTGAAGTCAGAATGAAAAAGCTTCTATGGTTGCAAAGTAATTGCAACCCCAAAAACCTTTAGAGGGTGTAAAAAACAAAAAAACATTTAAGGGTTAAGCAATCTTACTATTCCTGTGAACTTGACTGATGATTTTTCAAAGAGATGACAAAATAATTTGGACTTTAGACAGGGATGGTGCAAACAACCCAACCACATGTTTTTTCTGAAATGTGCTCGTTTTCAACCCATTCCACCTCTGCTTTTTATGAGGATTTAAACAGGTGCACATGTAAGGCTAATTCATAACCTATTTGGCATTTCCATAGTTTTTATTAAATACTATTATCTCCATAATAATTAATTGCACGTTTTTAACATGTATATTTTGCAGTTCTTCCAGGTGATGGTGTTTTGCTTTGCTTTTTTCATGAACCCCATCAAGCTTTACCTAATTATCATCTACACCTTAGATCCTAACCAACTACTACTATAAACTATATGTCTGCCTGGTTTGCTTATCCCTGTCTAGTATCAGCACCTTTACCATGCATGCTAACAAAGTAACAAGATGATAGCGAGTAGAATTAGATGGATAGTCTGACTGTATACTTTTTTTACACTTTATGAACTTTTATTGTAACTTAACTATTCATTTCAATCCTCAAATATTCATGATATTATTGCATTGTTATTTGACTGTATTATCCAACTATCTTGCAATAAATATATTTGTACATAAAAAACAAGGGACTCTATACAATAAAGCAATGCACCAACAGAACGGCATTTTGTTTTGTCTCTGATTCATGGTATGTTTTCAGTTCTCTAAATTGTACAGAAATGCACAAAAATCAGACACATCATTCAAATTTTAGAGAGAAAAATGTGAGAGAGGTTCTGAATTTTTGATAAATACCCTTGCATAAAATACTTTTAAATAAAACATTATCAGCAACATACACTTTCTTGTTTTTAGGTAGATATCCTGACCAATTCCCCGACTCATTTTTTGTGAATTTGGAAAACCAATAAGTACAAAAGTTAAAATTGATATTTTATTAATCAATTGCATATTATGCGAGTGAAACCTTCATCCATCCATCTTAAAAAACTCATTGTAGTTGATTCCATAAGTGTAAATGACCTTGTTGTTTAACCCTTGCAACTGCCATATATAATTGCAGACAATATCATTATAACTGCCTGACAAATATATACAACAATGTTAGTGGCTTTGTTCTTTGATACTGTCATTTTCTGCTGTTTCTTGTTTCAATCCGACCTGTACACCTTCAAAAATGATATCAGTTTTGCTGATCCAAACATTTCAATAAATTCGTCTGATCTATTTTCACTATTTTAACCCCTTTCAAGCAATTAGCCTGCAAGTGTATATAGAGATTAACACCTACCTGCTGGTTGTTACTGCACATTTGTTGCTGGTGACCACCTCCGGCTGATAAACTAAATTTTTGAAAATCGACATTCCCATGTTAACCAATGGGAAATGTAGGTTTGCCACAAGTCATATGACAATATCCATCCATCCGAGTCCTTGCAAAAAATATGAGTTAGGCAGATAATTGAGGAAAAAACTGAGAAAATTTGGAGGTATTGGAAATAAAGTCAAGTTACCTTTCCATCAATATTTTAAGTTATTTCATCGCAGGTTAAGTAAATAAAAATTCAAACGTAAGAGGCTTTAACACATAGTTCAGTGGGGGAGCTAAGATTGCCAAACTTATGGAGGGGAGTGTACAAATTGTCTCTCGTTCCCTCCCCTTATATCTACTTTATTTGCCAATATCATTTTTACTTTAATTTAAAGAGTTTTCTAACAGCATTTGTTTTAACTAAAGGATAATAAATTCAAAAT